TTCTACTGGGTTTTTTGTGTTTGTTTGTTTCGAAAGCATTAATTTCTGCTCTAATCTTTATTATTTCCTGTCTTCTGCTGGTTTTGGGTTTTATTTGCTGTTCTTTTTCCAGCTCTTTAAGGCGTAAGGTTAGGTTGTGTATCTGAGAGCTTTCTTTCTTCTTTAGGAAGCCCTGGATTGCTATGTACTTTCCTCTTATGACTGTCTTTGCTGCGTCCCAGAGGTTTTGGGTTATGGTGTTATCATTTTCATTGGCTTCCATATACTTTTTAATTTTAAGGACACACTTTAAAGCAAAAATCCATAAAGTGAGACCTGGCATCATGGTTGGATGTTTTTTCTCCAGCTTCTTTTAGCTGTACAGGTTGAATTAAAACATAGTGTATTAAAGAAAATTACAGGTATAGTAAGGTCAACAGATCAGGAAGTGATTGCCATTGAAAAAAATAGTTTATTACTCATAGTTTCCAAGAGGAGAGGGCAGGCAATGCTACAGGGGGCTACATCGGGAAGCAGTGTGGTTAGCCACCAGGCAGAGGGAAAGGGAGAAACTGTGGGCCCATCTCTATTGTGCTTTTGGTGGGAAGGTAGAGGTGAGACATGGTGAACAGGCTTAAGCTGGACTAGTTTTAATCATTTCAGTGGGATCTGGAACCTAGGGACCATCCCAAGTTGTCTGGTACCTGGCTATAGGGTGATTAGGGAAGATATACAGTGGCCTATAGTGTGAGAGCCTGATAAGAGAGATGGTTGGGGATAGACTAGTTCACATTGGAAAATTGTACCCCTGGGAGGGAAAGGAGTGACAAGGAGTCGGGAAACCAAGGCACAGTAACTTGAGCCTATCAGTTTGTCCAGAACAAGACATATTGGGCCTATACATTTATGGCAAATGATAAAACATCAGGTTTACCCGAAGCTAGAAACATGGTTGATACACAGGTGCAAGGCTCAACATAAGAAGATGATTGGAATGGATCATAGTTTTGGTTTTGCCAGCAAATACAGTGAATTTAAAAAAGGAAAAGGAAAAGGAAGATGAGAATGTAAGTAAAGATTATAATACAGGCATACCTCATTTTATTGCACTTCACTGTATGGCACTTTGTTGATACTGTGTACTTTACAGATTGAAGGTTTCTGGCAACCCTGTGTTGAGCTCGTCTTATTGGCGCCATTTGTCAAACAACATTTGCTCACTTTTTGGCACTGTGTCACATTTCAGTAATTCTTACAATATTTCAAACTTTTTTATTATTGTGTTTCTTATCATGAACTGTATCCATGATTATTACTCACTGAAAGCTCAGATGATAGTTAACATTTTTTAGCAATAAAGTATTTTTTTTAATTTTTCAATGTTTATTTTTTTT